GGAGTGGGGTTGATCAGGGCTATGGGGAGGGAGGGGGAGTGGGATCGTTGAGATCTATGGGAGTGAGCGGGAAAGTGTAGTTGATCAGGGCTGTGGGGAGAGAGAGGGGGAGTGGGGTTGATCAGGGCTATGGGGAGAGAGGGGGGAGTGGGGTTGATCAGGGCTATGGGGAGAGCGCTGGGGTGTGGGGTTGATCGGGGCTATGGGGAGAGAGCGGGGGAGTGGGGTTGATCGGGGCTATGGGGAGAGCGGGGGAGTGGGGTTGATCGGGGCTATGGGGACAGCGGGGGAGTGGGGTTAATCAGGGCTATGGGGAGAGAGGGGGAGTGGGGTTGATCAGGGCTATGGTGAGAGAGGAGGAGTGGGGTTGATCAGGGCTATGGGGAGAGAGGGGGAGTGGGGTTGATCAGGGCTATGGGGAGAGAGGAGGAGTGGGGTTGATCAGGGCTATGGGGAGAGCGCGGGGGAGTTTGTTGATCAGGTCTATGGGGAGAGCGCGGGGGAGTTTGGTTGATCAGGTCTATGGGGAGAGCGCGGGGGAGTGGGGTTGATCAGGGCTATGGGGAGAGCACGGGGGAGTTTGGTCGATCACTGCTACGGGGAGAGCGCGGGGGAGTGGGGTTGATCAGGGCTATGGGGAGAGCGTGGGGGAGTGGGGTTGATCAGGGCTATGGGGAGAAAGTGGGAGAGTTCGGTTGATCAGGGCTATGGGGAGAATGTGGGGGAGTTAGGTTGATTGGGGCTGTAGGGAGAGGGCGGGGGAGTGGGGTTGATCAGGGCTATGGGAGGGAGGGGGAGTGGGATCGTTGAGATCTATGGGAGTGAGCGGGAAAGTGTAGTTGATCAGGGCTGTGGGGAGAGAGAGGGGGAGTGGGGTTGATCAGGGCTATGGGGAGAGACAGGGCCAGTGGGGTTGATCAGGGCTATGGGGAGAGAGGGGGGAGTGGGGTTGATCGGGGCTATGGGGAGAGCGCAGTGGAGATGGGTTGATTAGAACTATTGGGAGTGGGTGGGGAGTGGGGTTGATCGGGGCTATGGGGAGAGAGCGGGGGAGTGGGGTTGATCGGGGCTATGGGGAGAGAGCGGGGGAGAGGGGTTGATCGGGGCTATGGGGAGACAGCGGGGGAGTGGGGTTAATCAGGGCTATGGGGAGAGAGCGGGGGAGTGAGATTGATCAGGTCTCTGGGGAGAGCGCGGGTGAGTGGCTTCGATCAGTGATATGGGGAGAGCGCTGGGGTGTGGGGTCAATGAGGGCTATGGGGAGAGAGCGGCGGAGTGTGGTTTGAACAGGGCTGTGGGGAGAGAGAGGGGTAATGGTGTTGATCAGGGCTATGGGGAGATCGGGGGAGTGGGTTTGATCAGGGCTATGGGAGAGCGCGGGGGAGTTGGGTTGATCAGGGCGATGGGGAGAGAGTGGGGGAGTGGGGTTGATCAGGGCTATGGGGAGTGAGCGGGGGAGTGGAGTTGATCGGGGCTATGGGGAGACAGCGGGGGAGTCGGTTTGATTAGGGCTATGGGGAGAGAGAGAGAGAGTGGGGTTAATCAGGTCTCTGGGAAGAGCGCGGGGGAGTGGCTTCAATCAGTGATATGGGGAGAGCGCGCGGGTGTGGGGTCAATGAGGGCTATGGGGAGAGAGCGGCGGAGTGGGGTTTGAACAGGGCTGTGGGGAGAGAGGGGTAGTGGGGTTGATCAGGGCTATGGGGAGAGAGGGGGAGTGGGGTTGATCAGGGCTATGGGGAGAGAGGGGGAGTGGGGTTGATCAGGGCTATGGGGAGAGAGGGGGAGTGGGGTTGATCAGGGCTTTGGGGAGAGAGGGGGAGTGGGGTTGATCAGGGCTTTGGGGAGAGAGGGGGAGTGGGGTTGATCAGGGTTGGGGGAGGGGGGAGTGGGGTTGATCAGGGCTTGGGGAGAGAGGGGGAGTGGGGTTGATCAGGGCTTGGGGAGAGAGGGGGAGTGGGTTGATCAGGGCTTTGGGGGAGAGGGGAGTGGGGTTGATCAGGGCTTTGGGGAGAGAGGGGGAGTGGGGTTGATCAGGGCTTTGGGAGAGAGGGGGAGTGGGGTTGATCAGGGCTTTGGGGAGAGAGGGGGAGTGGGGTTGATCAGGGCTTTGGGGAGAGAGGGGGAGTGGGGTTGATCAGGGCTTTGGGGAGAGAGGGGGAGTGGGGTTGATCAGGGCTATGTACCTACACACAGTGAGAGTTTAGGGTGTGTACCCACACAAAGCTTCTGAGGACATTTGAGGAGCTGAAATCTCAGTAAAATCTGGACACAGTATAAGAACATAAGCATTAGGAGCAGGAGTCGGCCATTCGTCCCCTCGAGCCTGTGCCCCGCCATTCGATAAGATCACGGCTGATCTCCTGACCGGACTCTAATTACCCGCTCTCTCCCCATATCCCCTAATCCCTCTGTTGTTTAAACGTCTGTCAGTCTCAGCCTTGAAGATGTTGAAGGACTGACATCTACAGCCTTCGGGGGGAGTGGATTCCATAAAGTCACTGCCCTCTGAGTGAAGATATGTTTCCTCAACTCTGTTCTAAAAGGCTGACCCTTAATTTTCAGACTGTGACCCCCGGTTACAGATTCTCCCACCGGGGAAACAGACCCTCAGTGTCTACTTTATCCGCCCTTTAAGAATCTTATGTTTCACTAAGATCTCCCCTAATTCTTCTGTACTCCAGAGAATACAGCCCTTGTTCCTCACTCCCTTCGTCTCGCTCCCTCCCTTCCCATTTTCTGGTCTCTTTTCGACCGCGCCTTAGGTCACCTTCCCACCCCTCCCCCTGGCTCGGTCCCGGGATCCGTTACTGTAAAGCGCTCTGAGACGCCGTCCGGCATGGAAGGCGCTATATAAATCCAAGTTGTTGTTGTAGTTTATTCAGCCTCTCCTCATAGGTCAGTCCCCTCATCCCAGGCACTAACCGAGTGAATCTACGCTGCACCCCCTCGAGGGCAAGTATGTCCTTTTTTAAATAAGGAGACCAACACTGCACACAATACTGTCGGTGCGGTCTCACCAAAGCCCTATATAGCTGCAGCGAGACTTCCCTACTCTTGTACTCTAAACCTTTGGCAATGAACGCTAATATGCCGTTCGCCTTCTCAGTTGCTGCTGAACCTGCAAACTAACTTTTTGAGACTGGTGTACACGGACACCCAAATCCCTCTGAACACTAACACTGTCTAATCTCTCCCCCTCTAGAAAATAATCTGTTTTTCTATTTTTGCTGCCGAGGTGAATAACTTCACACTTCCCCACATTAAATTCCATCTGCCACCGACTCGCCCACTCCCCTCGCCTGTCTATATCCCATTGCAATCTTTTGCATCATCCTCAGAGCTCACTCTCCCACCGAGTTTAGTGTCATCCGCAAATTTAGATACGTTACATTCAATGTCCTCGTCCGGATCATTGATGTAAATTGTAAATGGCTGAGGCCCAAACACTGATCCTTGTGGCACTCCCCAAGTCACCTCCTGCCAATTCGAGAATGACCCGTTTATCCCTACTCTCTGTTTTCTACCCCTTATCCACTCTTCAATCCATGTTAATATGTTCCCATTAATCCCGTGGGCCTTAACCTTGTGCAATAGCCTTTTGTGTGGCACTTTGTCAAATGCCTTCTTAAAACCTAAATATACTACATCTACTGGTTCCCCCCTCTCTAACCTGCAGATACATCTTCAAAACACTCTAAAAGATTAGTGAAGCGTGACTTCCCTTTTGTAAAGCCGTGTTGACTGCCTACTCTTGTTATGGTCTTCCAGGAATCCCATAACCACATCCTTAATTAAGGACTCAAGAATTTTCCCTATCACTGAAGTCAGACTAACTGGTCTATAGTGCCCCATCTTTTCTCTCCCACCCTCTTAAATAGTGGTGTCACGTTTGCAATCTTCCAATCAATGGGAACGATTCCAGAATCCAGAGAATTTTGGAAGATCAAAGGCAAGCCATCCACTATCTCAGTAGTCACCTCTTTATAAACCCTAGGATGTAGGCCATCAGGTCCAGGGGATTTATCAGTTTTAAGACCTGACAATTTACTTAAAACCATTTCTTTACTAATATTAATTCCCCCAAGTTGCTCGCTAACATTGTCTTCTTGGTTCCCCTCTATTCTTGGTAGGTTTTCAGTGTCTTCTCAGGTGAAGACAGTAGCAAAGTACTTGTTTAATGACTCTGCCATGTCTTTGTCCCCTACTGTAATTCCCCCCGTCTCTGCCTGTAGCGGACCCACATTTACCTTTGACAGCCTCTCCCAATCCTCGGGTTTACTCCTCATTTTAGCTGTTTTATAGGCTTCTTCCTTTAACTTTATACTGTCCCGAACTACTCCAGTTAGCCACGGTTGGGCCACCTTTCCCGTGGCATTCTTAGTCCTCAAAGGAATATGTGCTCGCTGGGAATTTTGCACTATCTGCTTAAACGTCTGCCATTGCTGGTCTACTGTCAAATCCTTCAGTCTAAGTTCCCAGTTTATTTTAGCTAAATCCTCTCTCATACCAGCAAAGTTGGCTCTACTTAAATTTAAGACCTTTGTTTCGGACTTAACTACTTCTCTCTCTAACTTAATGCTAAATTCCATCATAGCCTTAATTTCCAGTTTGCTGATCAGTCCTGTTTCATTACACAAAACAAGGGCTAATATGGCCTGTTCCCTGGTTGGCCCCTCGGCACGCTGATCGAGATAATTATCCCTCATTCTATAAACTCTTCCTCTATCATACTTTTTCCCAATTTGGTTGTCCCAGTCTATATGCAGATTAAAATCACCCACAATTAATGATTTTCCTTTACTCTATGCTCTGCTAATTTCCTGATTTATACCTTGAGAGATACTGTGACTGCTGTTCGGGGGTCTATAAACTACTCCCACTGGTGTTTTCTGGCCCTTGTTGTTACGTACCTCTACCCACACTGACTCTACTTCCTGCTCTTCTGATTTAAAATCTTTCCTCTCTACTGTTTTTATCCAATCCTTTTTTAGTTTACTCACTGGTTACATTCAGTCGTGTCCCTTGCCCACAGATAGGTCCCCCCGCACAGCAGCGATAGACGGCAGTGTCACTGACTTTCACGTGTTCAAATTTGAGAATGTAGGTGTTATTGGAGATGAATCTGTACGGCTTGAGATGACGAGAGGATCCTGAGGGGTATGATTTCCTGCCATCTATTCGATGTGTTAAAATCCACTTGCTCTGCTGTCCCGGGAGATGTTGGTACCAGTTTACATCGGTGCGGCTCACGTCGCCGTCCTTCATGATGCACTGAAACCAGGCCGAGTGTCCTTGTGTGACACGTTCCAGGGTCGGGGACTGAATGAGGAGATGAACAGCACCTTTAAGGGACAAATCTCCGTCAGTTACAGTCCAACCTGGAGGGAACAGTCCTACACTGATCACAGGCAATTAGTTTGTTTCAAATCAGTGACTAAACTAAATATTGTCACTAACATTACATTAAATTATAACAATTATATAATACATTTGATTGTATAATCCAACGTGAAGATTCTCCTCAATGGGACAGACCAAAGCTTTTATCTAATCCCAGAGAGTGACCGATTGATTATTGTTTTATTTTCTTGAGGGATTATTATCAGGTGTGTGAGTAAGGAACTTGCCCAAGGTTTTGCCGGGAATCGAATCCAGATCTCTCGCTTGCGAGCCAAATGCTCCAAACACTGAGCTACAGGACTGCTGTATAACACAGGACTCGTGTATAGCTACAGGATTCCCGTACAATATTACATCATGTAACAGTGCTCTGGGGGACTGCAGACCCGTCTGCTTCAGAACCAGTACAATCAGATGCCAATCACATTGGTTATTTACCAGAGGTCTTACCTTGAGGCAAACTTCACTCCAAAGCTTTGCCCTTCCCTGGAGGTCTGACTGGTTCAGGATTGAGCAGGTTTGGGCACGGTTCCTGATGCCTGGCTTGATAACAGGCACCAGGAACAAAAGGGGTGTAGAGGTGTTGGCAGGCAGGATAGATAGTTTGGTTATCATAGAACCGTAGAATTATACAGCACAGAAGGAGGCCATTCGGCCCATTGAGTCTGTGCCAGCTCTTTGAAAAGAGCTATGGAATTCTCCCCCGCGCTCTCCCCAGAGCCCTGCACACCTGTCTCCCCCAAATAATTATCTACGATGTTCTATTCTTTAGTATGTTCCCCAGCTTTTGATATTCACCCTGTAGAGCCTTAGCCCTTTTTTTCACCAATATCATCGATCCCAACCTGGACCACCACTTCTGAATGTTCTTCTTCCCCCTGAAGAGTTTTATCCACCCGTTCCACGATGTCTCAGACTGTTGCACCGGGCAGGCAGCATACCATCCTTGATTCCCGTCTTCTGTTACAGAAACGCCTGTCTATACCTCTCACTGTTGTATACCCTCTGACAGCAGCATTGCTCCTGTTACCTATGTCCTCCTGTTCAACCAATCTGTTTTTACTGTTCTCCCTGGAGATATCAACACTCTCAATGTTCAGTACAGAGTACCGGTTTGAGAGAGCAACACAATTGGGGGCATTCTGCCCAACCCGTCCCCTCTTCCTACCATGCCGGACAGTCACACAGCCATTTTCCGTCTGAACTCTCGGGTGTGTGGGGTGGGGTGACCACCTCCTGACGTGTCTGGCCCATCAAATCCTCACATCCGTTGTACAAGTTTGAAGCCCAAGGTTCGATCACCCCTCTCAGGGGTCCCATTATCTGCAGGACTGATGAAACCATCCTATCCTTGAGCATTAACCACATACAAGCATCTCCCGAGCCTCAGGGGAGTGATGGTTTCCTCCATCATACTGTCCAGGAACCTCTCACTGTCCCTGATGGAGCGCAGTGTCTGCACCTCGGCTTCCGGCTCAGCTCCTCTCAGCTGGAGCTTCCTGAGCTGCAGACACTTGGTGCAGATCCAGTCGCCCGGGATCAGGGCCCTCCATTAACTCTCACATGTGAGAGTGACTCAGTCACTCGGGGCCTCCGCCCCGAGTGACTGAGTGCTTACCTCAGCCTCCGCCTCCGTCCCGAGTGACCGAGTGCTATCCTCAGCCTCCGCCTCCGCCCCGAGTGACCGAGTGCTTACCTCAGCCTCTGCCCCGAGTGACCAAGTGCTTACCTCAGCCTCCGCCCCAAGTGACCGAGTGCTATCCTCAGACTCCGCCCCGAGTGACCGAGTGCTTACCTCAGCCTCCGCCCCGAGTGACCGAGTGCTTACCTCCGCCTTCGCCCCGAGTGACCGAGTGCTATCCTCAGGCTCAGCTCCGAGTGACCGAGTGCTGACCTCAGCCTCCGCCCCGAGTGACTGAGTGCTTACCCCAGCCTCCGTCTCCGCCCCGAGTGACCGAGTGCTTACCTCAGCCTCCGCCCCGAGTGACCGAGTGCTTACCTCAGCCTCCGCCTCCGTCCCGTGACCGAGTGCTTACCTCAGCCTCCGCCTCCGTGCCGAGTGACCGAGTGCTTACCTCAGCCTCCGCCTCCGCCCCGAGTGACCGAGTGCTATCCTCAGCCTCAGCTCCGAGTGACCGAGTGCTGACCTCAGCCTCAGCCTCCGCTCTGTCCTGATTGCTCTCCCCGAGTGACCCTCATCATGACTTCCTGACTTGTGTACTCTATGGCCCTAATTATAAAGCCTCGTGTCCGGATGCTTTTTTAACAGCTGTATCTCCCTGTCCGGCCACCTTCAGAGATTTACTATATGACCCCCAGGTCTCTCGGTCCCTTCACCCCTTTAAGATTGTCCCATCAGCTTATATTCCTCTCCTCATTCCTCCTCCCAAAATGGATCACTTTGCATTTCTCCCCATTAAACTTCATCTGCCCCGTGTCTGCCCGTGTTACCAGTCTGTCTATGGCCATTTGCAGTCTGTTACTATCCTCCGCACTGTTTACTGCTTTTCCAGCTTAGTATCATCTGCAAACTTGGGAATTGTCCTCCTATACCCAAGTCCATGTCATTTATATGGATCAAAAACAGCAGTGGCCCCAATACTGACCCCCTGGGGGACACCACTGCTCACTTCCCTCCAGTCAGAAAAACAACTGTTCACCACCACTCTGTGCTTTCTGTCTCCCAGACAGTTCTGTATCCGCTGCCACTGTCCCTTTAATCCCGGGGGCTTCTGTTTTACTAACAAGTCTCTGATGTGTCACTTTATCAAATGCCTTTTGAAAATCTGTATAAACGACATCAACTGCACTCCCTTCATCCACCCTCTCCGTTACTTCATCAAAAAATCATCAGGTTTGTTAGACATGATCGGTCTTTAACAATTTCATGTTGACTGTTCTTTATTAACCCATATTTTTCTAAATGAAAGTTTATATTGTCCCGGATTATAGTCTCCAGAAGTTTCCCCACTACTGACGTTAGGCACTGGCCTGTAGTTCCCGAGTTTATCCTTCTGCCCCTTTTTGTATATTTGCAACTCCTCAGTCCTCTGGCACCACCCTGGTGTCCAAGGAGGATTGAAAGATTGTGGCCAGAGCCTCCGCTGTTTCCACCATTGCTTCCCTCAGTAACCTAGGATGCATCCGTCCGGACCAGGTGACTTATCTACGTGAGTACCTCCTCTTCTTTTATTCTTATCCAATTTCTCTCCCCTCTCCTCCCATACTGTGGCATTGGCTGCATCCTCTTTGTTTGTAAAGACAGATGCAAAGTCCTCATTCAATACGTCAGTTGTGCCCTCGACTCCACAAGAAGATTTCCTCTTTGGTCCCTAATTGGACCCCACCCCTACCTTTGACTAACCTTTTATTCTTTATATGCTTTAAAAGACCTTAGGTTCCCTCTTATGTTACCCACTAATCTTATCTCATATAATTTCTTTGCCTCTTATTTCCTTTTTCAGTTCTCCTCTGTAGTTTAACATAACATAACATGTAGGAGCAGGAGGAGGCCATTCGGCCCTTCGAGCCTTTGCCCCACCATTCAATGGCTGATCTTCTAATCTAACTCCAGCTAATAACCTGACCCTACCTTATCCCCATATGCCCCCAAACCCAGCCTCCACCCCCCCCTGCCTTATCCCCATATCCCCCCCACCCCAGCCAGCCTCCCCCTCTCCCCCAGCCTCCCCACCCCCTGCCTTATCCCCATATCCCCCCCCACCCCAGCCAGCCTCCCCCCCCCCCCCCGCCTTATCCCCATTCCCTTAATCCCTTTTGCAATAAGAAACCTATCCATCTCAGTCTTGAATATGTTCGAGGACTGAGCGTCAACAGCCCTTTGGGGTAGTGAGTTCCATACATTCACTGCCCTTTGAGTGAAGAAGTTCTTCCTCTACTCAGTGCGAAAGGGTTGGCCTCTGATTTTAAGGTTGTGACCCCTGGTTTTAGTTTCTCCAACCGGGGGACGCAATCTCCCACTATCTGCTCTATCATGGCCTTTGATGATCTTATAGGTTTCTATAACATCCCTCTAATTTTTCTATATTCTAGAGAATATAGGCCCAAATTGGTCAGCCTCTCCTCGTAACTCATCCCCTTCATCCCTGGCACTAACCCAGTAAATCTACGCTGCACCCCCTCCAAGGCAAGTACATCCTTCCTTAAATGGGGAGACCAAAACTGGACACAGTATTCCAGGTGTGGTCTCACCAGGGCCCTATACAGTGGCAGCAAGACTTCCCTACTCTTATACTCTAATCCTTTCATAATGAACGCTAACATACCGTTCGCCTTCCTAATCGCTGCCGCACCTGCAGACTAACTTTCTGTGATTGTGTACAAGGACACCCAAGTCCCTCTGGACGCTGACACATTCCAATCTCTCCCCTTCTAAACAATAACCCGCTCTACTGTTTTTGCTCCGGAGGTGGATGACTTCTCACTTCCCTACATTATACTTCATGTCCCACCTACCTGCCCAATCACCTAACCTATCTATGTCGCGCTGCATTTTTTTAATGTCGTCCTCTGTGTTGGCACTTCCTCTTAGTTTTGTGTCATCCGCAAATTTAGATATATTAACTTTGATGTCCTCATCAAGATCGTTGATATAGATGGTAAATAGCTGAGGCCCAAGGACTGATCCTTGTGGCACTCCAGTAGTCACATCCCGCCAATCTGAAAAGGACCCGTTTATCCTACTCTTTGTTTCCCACCCGTTAACCATTCCCCAATCCACGTTAATATGTTCCCCCCAATTCCATGGGCCCTTATCTTTTGGACTAACCTTTTATGCGGCACCTTATCGAATGCCTTCTGGAAGTCCAAATAGACCACAACAATGATTCACCCTTATCGAGTTTACTGGAAATATCCTCAAAAAACTCTGAGATTTGTCAAACGTGACCTCCCTTTTGTAAAGCCATGTTGA